TACATTTTGACAATCCTAATACAGCCTCACGCGCATGCGAAAAACCCATACATTTAACAAACTTACTGTGAGGGTCGTCGTTCGAGATAAAACGAACGCATGGCGGAGAGCAGCGTCGATAATCCATGACACTTCACTGTAAGGAGAACAGAGTTCCACTTATACCAGTCGCTGAAGTGTCGAGACGAAAGCTGAAGTTGAATTTGAAGAATTCGGGCTCAGAAAAACCGAACGAAGGGCGAGATGTGACCGCTTCGTGAAGGCAGAGAAATCTGAGGAGAAGATGGCGCGCGCGCGTTCATCATGCTACGACGTAAGAGCGTCGGGGCGGAGCCAGCTTTGCGAGAGCGCCATCAGCCAATGAATTGGCGTGATTCTATAGGGCTTCAGGCAATCGGCACATCCAGAGGATATCCCACTGCGCTTTCCGCAGCGTTGAGTGAACCTATGAAAGAGAACAAATGCTGCCGCTCAGTCTTTTTGCCACTTAGTGGGCGTGACCGCATTCACTCCGGCCGACGGTGATGTCATGCGCAAAACGGAGGCTAGCTAGACCCAGAGCCGCTCTGGCTAGACCCTCCCTCCTCCTCATCCGCGCACTAACCCCCCAAACCCCGCCCCCAAGTCCTTCTTGTCGGTGATTGGCTGGAACTGTTTGTCATGTTTCGTGGACGGTGGAGCGGGTTTAGCCCAGTTTGTTTTTGTTGCTGTTTGTGGAGCCTGGCCTGTCTACAGAGATCGCGTTTCTTTACAGTGTGTTCAGGGGACAGGCAGCCAGCGGTTAGTGAGGAGATGTTTGCTGTATGTGACAAAGAATGTTTTGGCCTAAAAAACGCGTGACATCGCTTAGAGCACCTTTAATAACCGTTATGTGTCCGACTTTGTAAAGAGTTATAATACAGAGGCGGGTGTTGGTGGTGATCCTCAGCTCTCCATCAAGGTTGGCTCTTCACAAAATTAATCCACTTCTTCTTGATGTGATCGTGTTTAGGAAATTTAAATAAAGACACCGATCTGTTTTGTACATGATCGCATCCAGGTAGTGTGTCGAAGGCATAGCTAGCTAACAAACTGCAGGCTGTAGTAACGGTAGTAACAGTGACTCGCGATTGAGCGGCAAACTGATGTGAATGTGCTCTATTGTTAGGGGAGGGGCCAGCCTCAGTGGCCTCAGTGCGTCATCAAGTAGGGGCGTGTCCACGAGCTCAGGGGCTCCAGTGCGTCATCGAGCCCCGTTTTAGCCCCGCCCAAAAAATCCGGAAAATAGCAATGGTGAAAAACTGTTTAATGGTCTTACTCCACAATTCAGTACTTCACAGTTCACAGTCTTTGTAATATGTTTTAGCAATACATTTCTAACATTTATAATGTGTTTAGAATTTTTTTTTTAGAATTGCCTTTACAGGGACTTTAAGTCCCCCTGTAGTCAATTTTCTCCCATTAAACTCATCTAATCACCAATTTAGCATATTCAAACGTTTATTTCCTGTGAAAAAAATGTCTTCATGCATTAAAAAAGCTTGACTGTAACTCTAAACCCTTGCATAGTATATGTAGATCAATGAATATGCAAATTAATTTAGCCCCGTCTCCACTCACCAGCTAAGAGATCCACTCGGTCAACTTCACTGAAGTAGTTTAAACACTGCCCAATGATATGTAGTGATCATTTTACACGGATAGTTTTATAAACTTTCATCGGAGACAACTGGGATTCACTGATAATCCGCTGTTACTGGTGAATGGGGCCGAACCGACTATCTCCCGCCTCGGCCTTCATCTCCCCGTCCCGAAAGCAGTATCACCTAATATCAGCGTCGGTAGCTTTCCCGCGAGTGGGCGTGGTTTCAGCGCAGCCAGCGGACACGCCCCCAGCGTTTGAGAGCAGAGAATACTGCTCATTTTTGCAAGATTTTGATAGTTTATTTTATGTACTTGCGGGCTTTTTTTATCATTCAAATTTGGCTGGGTGGCTAATAACACATTTTTCTGTGGTGTGACAAACTCAGAACACATACTTAATTTTGACTTTACAGGGACTTTAAGTTGCTCAGCCCCACTCTCGATCTTAAAGGTGCAATGTGTAATATTTCTAAGGATCTATTGACAGAAATGCAATATAAGATCCATAACTATGTGTTCAGTGGTGTATAAAGACCTTACTCAATGAACCGTTATGTTTTTATTAGCCTACCTTAGAATGAGACATTAATATCTACATAACCGCGGGCACCCCCTTCTAGGTCGACATATTGTGACGTCATGTTTCTACCGTATCCGACAGCGAACAAACAGTGCTACAGAGCGCGTTTCGTTCATACCTTGAAAGAGAAGCCACAGAAAGCTAGAAGCTAGCCATAGACACCGTGAGTAGTGACCTTTGTAGTTGGATTGTTTCATGTAACTTAGTTCTTCTCCCTCGCTGTGTTATGGCTTTGACAATCAGCTGATTAGTACTATTGACCGTAAAACACAGTAACGTTACAGGAGTCACCAACCCGTCGATCGCCGTTTACAAGTCGATCTTGGAAGCATTTTAAGTCGATCGCGAAGAGTTTTCAAAACCAGAGAAAAAAAACAATATTTGTATTCATTATTATTTATTAATTTGTGTGTATAGTAAATGGTGTCTAGGGGATGCGGAGGCGCGCGCGCTGTTACAATCACGTCATTTTTGCCGCGCGCACCTTTGCGCTCATGCGGAAGCGTCGAGTATAAACAATGCTACGCTTTAACCAGCTCAGCCACAGCCCTACAGCATAACAGCTCATATTAGCCAGCTAAACTTTTACTACCCTGTTAGAAAAAAGATGTAGTTGGATAGTTTCATGTGGTTCTTCTCCCTCGCTGTAATATGGGTTTGCTATGTGGGGAGAAATGTGCTGGTTACATTCGTGAGACAATCAGCTGATTACTATTATTATATTATATATTAAGACCCTTGATCCTCACCTGACTATGGCTTTGTACACTTTATCCATGATGTGGTTTATAATGGACTGTGGTACAGAAACTTGGCTTACTCTGGCTATTCTCTGCTGTCTCAGACGACGATATGTTTGTCCCGTTTTAGCAACCGTAGCTTCTTCGAAAGGGAGGGGTGAACAGTGGGCTGAGCCATTAGTGCAACTCGCAACCGAACCGCTAGATGCCGCTAAAATCTACACACTGCACCTTTAAGGGGTTCAGCGTGGAGAAGCTGAACACGTAGTGCCATCCGATACATGGGCACTGAAGGATTTAGAGATAGAGCAGAACAACAAAAAAATATATGTAAGTGAATGAAAGTGTGTATGTATTGAGAAAAAAAAGAAAAAGAAAAAAAAAGATCTTAAAGGGGTGGTATAATGCCCTTTTCACAAGATGTAAAATAAATCTCTTATGTCCCCAGAGTGTGTATCTGAAGTTTTAGCTCAAAATACCCTGCAGATATTTTTTATATAGAATGTTAAAGTTGTCACTTTTTGAGGGGGAGCAAAAACGCACTGTTTTTGTGTCTGTCCCTTTACAGTCTATGGTAAGTCAGTCTATGCAGCAGCTCTGATTACGTTACCTCACGCAGACACTCAAATGTCAGAAACTGTTCTGCCTTTTATGTTTAAACCGGAGTCAGACAAAGATGGAGATACTCAAGAAGAAGTGACATGTAGAATGCAACAGGACGTCTCTGAATGGTTAGTTGATGAATTTATGTTGCTGATGTGGAGTTAACTATCTTTAATTAGTATATTCTGTCATGATACTCTACAAAATAGCTCGTATAGGAACTGTTGTAAGATGCATACAGAGTGACATTCTATTGCATGTGAAAAAGACGGATGCTACAGTTTGAGCAGATTTACATATGTGCTCTTCTACAACAACTCTTCCTCTTCTCAACATGGACTGTATGTTCACGGGGGCGGGGTTTATGTAAATTTTAGGGTTGGTGATGTCACTAACCCGTGAGGAATATCGTGTAGTCCCTACCAGCCGTTTGTTGTAGTCCTTAAAAAACGATTTCTTTAAACTTTGAACTTTGAGCGTTGTAACTTTGCAGTGTTGTTTATGCTCAAACTGCAACATTACACACTAACTAAAGTTAGAAAAGTGAAATCATAATCAACCACCCCTTTAAATAATCCCTGACTACATAACAGCACAGTAGGTCAGTAGGTGGCAATATGCACTCAGGATGTGATGCTCCAAAAAACCCAGAAGAAGAAAGTGGATTTGGAGAAGGACTGCTAAGGGCATCATGTGAACCAAAAATGTTATGTTCCCTTGCTCCTCCATCCTCCTGAGCCCTATCCGAAAATCATCATCTGATATCATGAGGGACATAGGATTTCATTAAATGCACAAGAGGTGAGAAATTACTTTTCTCCATTGGTTCCTATTCGAAAGTAAAGATATAGGCCTGGTTTCACAGACAGGGCTTAGATTAAGCCAGGATTAGGCCCTAGTTCAATTAGGGCATATAAGTAGCTGTTATAAATTTGCAAAAAAAAAAAAAAAAAAGATCACCAGTAACCATTTTTAAAAGCTCTTAATATTCACAGTCTTTTTTAGGGTACTTTACTAATAATCTCACATCAACATTTCTGAAATATAGCATATGAGTGATAAATTATTGACAGCCTTGGAAAGTGTTGTATTAATATTAGTTTGTATATTATCAGTGACTTTAATGATTTATGATTAATTTCATTAAAAGTACATTACAGTGACACCAGATGTCATTCGACCAGTACAATGTCCAGGATGGCTTTTGTGCTCTGTTTCCACAATCCTTTATATTGTCTTGTTTTATATTGAACAGAGGTGACGTTCTGACTTTTCAGGCAACAATTGGCCCTCTCACATTTTCCTTGGAGCTAAACTCTTAAAGATTAAAGCTATAACAGCATTGGCGGTCACGGCACTGTTTTATTATTTGTTGTTGTTTTAGTGTATATTATTACTTAATGCTGCCTTTTCTGTTTATGTATGCTTTAATTTTGTTGAAAAACCTTCCAGATCCATATAACGGATACATTAAATAAATCGTCTAGGCCTATTAATTTCTCAGTGGTCATACTGACTAAATAAATTGTTAATTTATCAGTGGTCATTGTGACCAAATACTCTCAGAGTATCAAAGTGCAATAATTAAAAAGTGTCCAGCACCAATAACCAAAGCAAAAAACAAAAAAAAAAAAGTCAGTGGTATCACTATATAGAAGAAGTTTGCTTTAATTTAAATTCTGGCCAAAGGTGATACCAGCCACCCAGTACCAGCCTAGAGTTTAATTTGTGTCCCTTTTATCTATTACAATAATCCATGTCTGTTTATTCCCTCTTCCTCAGGGTTACGTCCAGAGAAAGGCAGGGTCCTTCAGCACCTGCGACAGGCGCTGGTTAAAAGGCCTGTAGAAGTTCTGCAGGATCTCCTTGGTTATGGGCAGCATTGGGCCTAGATTTCGATTGGCTGGTCGTCTGGTGTTTGAGGCGGGACTCTTTGTGATGTCTGCTTCCTTCTGGAGAGTAAGAGGACCTGAAGGGTCGATGAAGCACAAACACACGGTCAGTGAAATAATAGATACTTGCACTTATTTGCACATGATGACAAATTTATGAAGACTTCAGAGGTTAAACAAACAGACCCACATTATCATACTTTATGTATGTAGAAGCATGAAAACTAGAAACTCACCCAACTGAAGAAATTCAAAGACTCTCCGCATAGTGATTTTCCGGTTGGCTGCATGATCCTCCAGTCGTAGGATGAGAATTTGCTCTCTACTGAAAACATTCAGCCAGTCCAGCAGGTATATGACATACAGTCCCACCTGAAGCCTCACCTACAAATACAGAGGATAATTACAGTGCCACACTCTTTGGAATTCATGACAGACACAATTAAACAGACCAATTGTGCTAGTCATTGACAAGTAGCTCAAAGAGATTCAGAAATAGTCAGTAAAAGGCACAGTTCCCAACATAGACCTAACAATGCATAGTATCAGAATAGTGGTAGTAATGCATACACAAAATAGACACATTTACAGTAGAAAAATCTTTTGTCAGAGATGTATTAAGGCACTGGTTCTCAACCTATTGTCCCCCTATTTCTGCTGTAAATATAACACTGCTTGTTTTCAAACCTTTTTATTACTGGAAATTGAGACTGTTTTTGTTCCGTTTTGACTATTTAGTCATGTTCTTCAACATAATATATATATATATATATATATATATATATATATATATATATATATAATTAGGAGAGTTTGTTGAAGTGAATGCATTAGTTTCTTGTGTTCACCAACAGAGGGACCCAAAGGTTCAACAAAACATGAGACAATCCTTATTTTTTTTCAGTTTTATAACAGAATTTTATGTATTGCTATATATCATATGGTGATATAGTTACTATATCTTTTCACTTCTGATATGTATTTAATATATTCCATTATAATATAAGGAGTAGACAACATTCTTATCTCTTTCGTTTAATGAGTAGGAATTCCAAGTTGACACAAATTACAACTAATTTTATTATTTAATTCCTTGATGTGTTGATTAAAAAAAATTCAGCCATCAAAAAAAAAATCCACTCCCAACTGTTTTCAGAAAACATTATACCAATAAATATTGGCATCTATATATTGTTGTTTGCCTCCATTTTGAAGAGTGTGGAGATCAGGGAATTCTGGGAAATTCTATAAATGGTTTACTATGGTGCACAAAATGACAATTAATTTAGTTATAATGAAATAATCATTCAAATGATACCTCAGTTCAGATTCAGTTTGGAATATAATAGACATCCTTAATTCGATTCTGAATGGTGCACAACCCTCTATTTGTATTATATTGCATCCAATTTACTAGACTAAGCAGCAATGATGCAGCAATCCAGAGTTTTTCTGGATCATCAACCAGCATCACAGCCATAAATCAAACATTCATGACTTTAATCCCCAGATCAGTGCAGAAAAACAATGTACTTTTCAAAACACATTTAGATTTCTCTATAACTGCCTTCAGTTCACCTTCCAACAGCTTTCTCCAGAGGTGAAGAACATCTACTGGCTGCACAACTTTTGGGAGGAGCCAGAACAGCTCATCCCATATCTTATCTACACGGCTGCACCTGGTGGCTGAACCAATTACATCATATCACACTGAACAAAATCTGACTCTGACTCACACCAGCCGCCTTTGAGCCCCATCCCTAATGAGAATTACCAACTGTGATGCTTTGGTGAGACACATCGTTCAGAAGATAACATTTTAATGAGCTGAAGGAATAGTTTTAGGAACTTGACAGCCCCTGTTCCCAATTCACTTTCAATGCATCGTTTCTACATCTCTTTTAAATCACATAGGTTTGGAACGACATGAGGTTGAGTAAATGATGGAATTGTCATTTTTAGGTGTACTATCCCTTTAAGATAGCAATATCATATTGAATATTTACATGTGAGGTAATGATCATGATTCATATTGCACTCACAGGCATCAAGTTGTTAAGAGTGGTGTTGTAAATGCAGGAACGGATGGACCTCTCAGCCAAGCAGCCCTCAAACAGGTGCAGCGATTCTGATACTCGCTCATGAAAATCCTCCACAGATTTATTAGCCATGCCAAAGTATAGATAGTCTGAGTAAAGCCTGCTCTCTCACACACAAACACACACAGTGCACAGACAAACACAATAAAAGGTAAGAGGGCAATCTAAAGAGCATCTCTCACACAGTAGTCTAATACTGGTTATGATATCCGAATAAATGATACTGATAAATATACTGTAAATATATCAATATTTGAAAATCGGATAAGTACCTCTCTACTGGGTCTCTGAGCATCACAATGAATCTGGCATCTGGTTGGACAGCATGAATGAAGTCTTGAACCAGAAAAGGAGGCTCCACCCCCGTTCCATTGTCGTAAAAATAAACCCAAGCATTATTGTCCCACATTGTGGATGCGCTCGCTTCACCTGTCAATCAAAGAAATGTGTATGAGTTTATTTGTAAAAGTTTACAATCCTGCTTGATCCCAACCAACTTGATATTTCATTTGAAGAGGGATAATCTGATGAATGATATTAGTGTTTGTTTTTGACTGGGCTGTTTTTTGCTGATTTAATTTCTCAGGCCTCTAATTTTATTTTAATACCTCTGGTATGAGTCATAACAAGAGGAAAGACCTTGACTATAACATCTGGCAGCTCTAATGAGAAAGTCTGGGTTTATAGACAATGTGAATTTAATTGGAGAACTTTCGGCAACCTCAAAAACTATACAATACCTAAAACTGGGGTTCGTGAGTTGATGGAAAGCTAGTAATTCATTCGATTATAAAAATGTCAAATTAAAATAAATGATCTTAAAATAAACACAAATCAAGCACTTACTAAAAAATTAAATATTTATTTGTTTACTGTACCTGCATGGCATGTGATTATTAACCGACATCAGAGAACCATGAACATGCCATTGTGTTGTTAAATATTTGAAAAATTACCTTAAATTTTCAGGGGGTACTTCAAGTTTAGGTCAGAGAGGTTCGGCTTACAAATAGTTTGGGAATCCCTGCATTAAAGAAAGGGCCTACAGTAACTAAACCTAAAACACGATTGAAACGCAATAATTATTACCGATTATGATGTTGACTTTTTTGTGGCTTTTGGAGGAGTTGCTCATCAAGTGATCTTGAATCTGATTGGCTGCTTGGTCAAAAAGATCCAGGTAGTCGTTCAGTGGATAGGGGTTCTGAAAAGCATTACCTGACCTGATGATACCTTAAACCAGGGGAAAACAAAGTACAATTATTTCAAAGCTTGCAAACAGAATTACATGGCATCTGTCCTGCTGTAAAATTTGTGTCATAAAATAAATGTGATACAACCTGTCTAACATTAAGCAGATGCTTTGCATTGTAAGAAAATGGGAGGGATGAACATTTTCCTGACACAAAGACCAACCAGCATCATCAATTCACATTTTTAACCGATGGTCGAATTATCATTTTTTGTGAAACTCACCAAACCTCTTTCGTGTCCACCAGTGTGGTTCCTTCATCGTGGTGAAATGGACCTCTGGATGTAGCCGTAAGCGGTCGTAGAGATCTGTGGTGCCACACTTGGGCTGGCCGATGATGTAAAACAAGGGCAGGCAGCGCAGGCGGTAATGTCTACCAGCATGCTGATGCAGGTGAGCTGGAAACGCTCTGCGCAGGTGGTCATATATTGCTTGGAAGCGCTTTGAGTAAAGGGCATACAAGTTTTTCCCATATGGATCGGCTGTGATATTCCCAAAGAATTCTTCATACCAGCAGGGGTTCTTGAGATTGGGAAGAAATATTCGAGGAATTGCAGTGAATATCTGTGGACGAGAAAGACCAGAAGGCTTATGATAGAAAACTAAGTTTTGAGTGTAGCTTGCACATGTTTATCTATGAAGGTGTGTATTTGCTTTATACAATACCGTTCAAAAGTTTGGGGTCAGTAAGATTTTTTTGAGATTTAATTAAGAAATGAATACATTTATTCTGTACGGAGGCATTAAATTGATCATAAGTGACAATAAAAACATTTATCAGGTTATAAAAGATTTATATTTCAAATAAATGCTGTTTGGACTTTCCAATTCAACTCATGGATTACTGACATATACTTTGACTTTTAAAACTCTCTATGTAAATTAAGTTTGCCACTCATTTTTATAAAAATGATACGGCATTATCATGAGCTATGAAATTGTTTTTGGTTTGGCATGATATTATTTACAGTGCTGGTCAGAATTGTTTGCCCCCTTGGTAAATATGATGATGGCTGTAAAAAATAAATATGCATTGTTAATCCTTTTGATATTTTATTTTAAAAATGAGCAAAAATCTAACCTTTTATTGAAGTAAAAGAATTGAAATTGTGGGGAAAAATCACATTATGAAAGAAATGTTTTTCTCCAAAACACATAGGGAACAATTATTTGCCCCCTTTTATTAAATCAACCTCTATTACGCAACCTCCTTTTTCCAAGATAACAGCTCTGAGTCTTCTATAACAAAAAAAAAAAAAGAAGAAGAAAAAAAGCTTTTTGGCAGCAAACACTTAATCTGGGTTTGGTTCATACAGGGATAAAAAAGTACCCCATGTGTAAAATGAAATACTCTGCTGTATCTTTAATGCTGTGGGCCTAATGTTCTGCCAGAGGTCCTGGACATCTTGTTCAGATACATGGCATCATGGATTCAATCAAATACCAACAATAAAAAATCAAAACCTGACAGCCTGTGCTAGAAATGCTAGAAAACAAACATCAAAATCAAAACAAAAATGGGTCACTGAGCACAAAAACAAGCATCTGCAATGGCCATCCCAGTCCCCAGACCCCCTATTGAAAATGAGTGGGCTGAACTGAAGAGAACATGCGCCAACATGGATCTGGGAATCTGAAGGATCTGGAGAGATTCTGTATGGAGGAATGGTCTCTGATCTCTTGTCTGGAGTTCTCCAAACTCATCATGCATTATAGGAGAAGACTCAGAGCTGTTATCTTGGAAAAAGGAGGTTGCAAAAAGTATTTAATAAAAGGGAAATAATTGTTCCCAATGTGTTTTGGAGAAAAACATTTCATAATGTGATCTTTTACGTCAATAAAATGTTAGATTTATGCATTTAAAAAAAAAATATATATATATATATCAAAAGGATAAACAATGCAGATTTATTTTTTACAGCCATCTTTGATCATATTTACCAAGGGGGCAAATAATTCTGACCAGCACTTAGTAGGGATGCACCGAAACTTAAAGTTCTGATATTCGAAGTCTATTCTTTAAAACACAAACTGGCTCTGACATGAGCTCTAACAAGCGTTAATCTTTAATATTGCTATCCTTTAATTGTAATTCGAGATAATGATCTAAATCTTAAAATTCATTGAAGCAACAATGTTTTTTTTTAATCGTTTTTTAATTTTATTTGTATGAATTTTTTTAATTTGTTTGTTAAAAAAATCAAGTATATTTTGCAATTATCAATGTAACTCAAATGCACATACGTTTGCCTCTTTCTCTCTCACTTCTCCCAGGTCAGGCACTCTTCTACAACTGAAATCCACTTTGGCTACAATCCTCCTCACCACTTCTCTCACAACGGTGTTGTCAGTAGTGAAAGACAGATTAAGGGGTTGCTGTGCCAGATGAGACACTACGGTAAGGTGATACGGTGACGGCGTTAAAAAGAGCCCTTTCTGGTCCCTCGTCAAGATGTAAGACGCCATGATTAGAATGGTGACTGTAAGTCCAAAAAGAAAGCTTAAGATTTTGATTTTCCGTACAGACCAGAGTGTCCATGGGCCCCATGCTTGATGTTGTGCTCTGTTGTTCTCTGTGAACGTCCATACACTCATCGACCTGTTGCTGGGCTTGCTTTTGCAGTACTCCACTTTTTCATCAAAGGCGTTTAGAAGGCCATGCTTGTGGTCCATTTTTGTATTATGTTAGTTGTGTTCACTTTGCATATAAAGTGAATCCCATCGATGCAAGTTATTGTACGAGGTCTGCTCCATCATACCGCTCAGTGCACCATAACCCAAAAGAGCTGTGTTTTGCCAATGAAATCAACATCTTTCATGGAGCAGATGCTATATGGCTTCAGGTCATTGTTTATAATGGAATGTTTGTGGGCAGGAAGACAGACAGTGGAATGAGCAGGGCTTCCCGCACGCGTGGCGAGGGGCAAGACGATTGGAGCACTCCTTCAATTTAGCTGCCACAAATGACACAGCGGCAGCGGGGTTGACAGCGCACCAGCACAAACACAGTGCAGATTTGGTTGTCAAGGTCACAAACGCCCCAACAGAAGCTCAGATAACAGAAAGGTCTATTCCTGCAAGACAAAAAAAGAGCAATAAACCGTAAATACACAAAGACGGTTCATTGATTTGAGTCTAGGAAGCAGTGGATGTTGGTAATACTCTGTTTCTGTCGCTCACACTTGCCAGTAACTCTGTGATGGGGTTTGGATAAGCATCAGAGAAAGGATGGCAGGAACATCATACAGGCCACAGACTGTGTGGCATATGGTGTGTGTGTGTGTGTGTGTGTGTGTGTGTGGGTATGTATGTATGGCTGCACAGAATATGTGTGTTTTGGAGAGTTTAGGGCGTAATCCATTTAGACATGATAGCCTCAGGACAGGCCTAATTAAGAACACAGTAGACCAGCTGCAAGCTAATAGATACATTTATTTGACAACCTCCACTCCTTCTCTTTCTCTGTCCTGCTCTCTGTGTCTCTCTTACTTACGGTTTCCTCATTCCTGGCAATGATTCAAATGATACAAGAAATGTGTTGTGAAATTGAAGCAGGAATTCAGAGAAAAGAGATGGAAATGCAGGGAGGTTTGAGGGGGTCTGACCTGCTCTATTTAAGGCCTGAACACACCAAAGGAAGTCGAAAACAAAAGGTTTGGTGTCTTAGAAGTATCTATATATGCAGAAGTTGTATAGATAAAGTATTTATGCATACAAGTATATACCATTTACACTACTGTTTAAAAGTTTGGGGTCGGTAAGAATTCTTTTTTTTTTTAAATAAGTCTCTTATGCTCACTAAGGCTGCATTTATTTGATCAAAAATGGTGTAAAAACAGTAATATTGTAAATGATAGTAAAGTTTAAAATAACTTTTCTATCTTAATAGATTTGAAAGAATTCAAAAGAAACGGATTTATTTGAAACATACATTTTCTTTACTGCCACTTTTGATCCACCCTTGCTGAATAAAGTATGCATTTCTTTCTTTCAAAAAAATCTTTCTGATCCCAGAATTTTGAACAGTTGTGTATATCTCAAGAGGGTTTATCAAACCACAAAATTTTAGTTATGATAAATAGACAGAAATCGCATTCACCTGAGGAAGTAACTGTAGTGATTAGGCTGAGGAGGAAGCAGCGGCTCTAAATGCAGTAGTAACTTTATTACACAAAACAAAAGACCACAGTAAACACCAGGCAAAGAACAACTGAAACTGATGACTATATATACTGAATAAACTAATGATCTAAATCAGGAACAGGTGTGTGAAATCAATGAATAACCACGACAACCAACGAAAATATATTTAGTATCCAAGACAACCAAGGAAACACAGGAAATAATGAGAAACAAACTAAAAGTCCATGAAAACAAAAACAAAACAACAACTAAACAGCAAGACGCTTCATAACCATGAAATTAATTACTGGATAAAACATTGAAAAAATATAAAATTTGCTGTATCACTTCATTATATTGTAGGTCTACATATCACCAATATTTCACAATAATTTATCTAAAAAATAATAAAAATCTATATCATGCAATATTAATTAATGTTATTTTAGGGGAATATCATTATTATAATAATAGTTTTTTTTGTATCCAGAGGACAGTTTGTTTTGGGTTTTCTTTGCTAAAACTTCATTCTTAATAAATGTCTGCAAGTGAATGTTTAGGACTAGCACGCACTAATTATGTATCTTCCTTGTATTTGTGTGTTTGTATTAAACTCAAGGACACTTCCTTGCAATCTCTTCCTACAAATGTTGGAAGAAATAGTCAGGCTGGTGGGGGAAAAACACAAAACTCAACAACAAAGCATTTCTCCTCAATGTAGACCTAATGGCTTGTTTATTGCTGAATATGCGTGGTTGGAAATTCTTGAGCAGGGCTTTTAAAAACCTAAAAAATATATATTGTTTTGCCTTGTTTTGGTTTCTTCCTTTTATTTTGGCAAATTAAAGGGCCTCCAGGATCCTCTGGTGGAGGGTTTGCCTTCATCATTTCTTCAGACAGTTCAGGGCTGTTATTTACCGCCTAATTGTGGTTAAATTTACCTTGGGGAGATCATTAACAGAAATGTGACTCTACCGAAGCCCACACAGACCACAGTAATCCATGCTGAACTAATAAATAGATGTGGGTCTCATAAATTATAGATAATTTCCTATTTGTGCACGAAATGGTTTGTATAACGCTCAGAGAGAGAGAGAGAGAGAGAGAGAGAGGGTGATAGACAGAGAAATGGGGAGAGATTAATGAAAGAAAAAGAGAGGGAAGGTAGTCAAAGGAGGACATGTGCGTTCCCATGGAGATGAAGGCAGGTGTCATTGATCAGTGTTGCTATGGAAAAATAGACACTGGGAGTGTTTGTATGTACGCTGACCTTAAATGGCATCCTAGTGACAGATTGTGCGTCTGAGTTACGTTGATTGAAAATAAGTGAGGTCTCGCTATCCGTGCCGATAATAAGAGTTTGAGGTAAAGCATAGCAATGAGGACCTCCATCACTGTCAGCGTGGGTGTTTATTTTAAGCACAAGCGTTACATTTCTGATGACTTTAGCATGGGGTTGGGCTGACTTGTGCTGCCACTTTAAATATATTTCAGAATAACAAACCCAGCTCTAAGTGTGGGGAGGTGAGGCATCTGCGAGCATGTTTTCATTATGGATCTGACTGAAGTAGAGGAGGAGCCCGGGACAGAGAGAGGATGCGTTATTCTTGAAATGAGCACTCGCTGCGGGAACGCCACAGCAGTCCACAACTCAATGATTCATTACTGAGAAGCTCCATCATTATACCTGTCAATCAAAACCACAAGTGAGGAGCTCTACAAAGTGCGTGCCTATTGATGCTTTTGATGTTGTTTATGCAAAGCCTACACAATTCAAGGGTCCTTACAGGTTAAAGGGATAGTTCACCCAAAAATGAAAATTCTGTTATCATTTACAAAGTTATGCGTTTTAGTGTGTAATTTGTGCACAACAAAGTGTCATTTAAAAAAAAAAGATTCACCGTTTTTAAGGCATGGTTCACAGGTGAATGATAAAGATGATGAACAATGAATCTAAAAACGACGTTGCGACAAACGATGGTTCATTCCTAATTCGTTTACACGAAACACCGTCATCCTGTCAATTATATGTTTTAACTCCAAGTACGTTATTTATTAGCCACAACCAAGAGTTATTACTTCAAGCCTTTTACTTATTAATTAGGATGTTCTTGTTTTAATGTAAAAATCTCGCTAACATCATAAATAGACCTCAGAGAGAACACACACCACTGATTGAACCATTGGCTGCATCCGAAATCACATACTTCCCTAAGTATCCGAAAAACAGTATGTGACAAAAGAAGTATGTCTGAATTCACAGTACTCATAAAACATTAGGCAAAAAGTACCCTGGTGACCTACTTCCAGCGAGATTCTGAAGTGTGCATATGATGGATACTTTACTATCCCATGAGGCCACAGGAGAAGATTCATGAATGGCCTTGAAACGACATAGCGGACGCTGATATAGGTCACATGATAATAACAACATGGCGGATGTAGTACGTCCGAATTAAATTCATACTACACATATTCATACTATGTAGAACGAACTTTTTTAGCGGTCGTGGAGTAATTACTTATTTAAAATAAGTACCTACTCATGAGAGTATGCGATTTCGGACGCAGCCTTTGTTGCTATGTCATTTTTCACATACATCTCTCTGAGCCCCCTCCCTCACCCATTTCCAGAGTCATAAAAAGAGGGCAGCTGTCAAGACCACTGCCTCCGAGCACAGAGGCTACTGTGTCCGTGCCAGCCAGTGCCATGACTATTGATCAGAGTATGCAGGAATGGATCCGGGTGGATGGAAGGGGATGCCAAGGGTCTGGGGGGGGGGGTCGTAGCTTAAGTTGTAGCCTACAATACACCGGGAGGGGGAGGGGGAGGGGGGCAATACTTGGAATATCGTGAGGAGAAGCACAGCAGTAGAAGGGGCAGAATATGTGTCACAAGTTAGTGTGGTCCGTGGATGCTTTTGCACATACAGTGGCCATCAAATAAATATTTGGACAATCAAGCAACATTAAAAATATGTTATTGAAATAGATAACAAAAATATCAAACCAAGTGACATTTTCATTGCACAAACAATTTGTAAAACATTTTACAAAAGGTTTTGATTGACAAATCAATAGTTAACACTGATAATAAAAAAAGATTCTGTGGTGAAGTAAATATATAGAAAAAAAAACAAATGTATTTTTAGATTGAATAAGTTAGTTCAGGCAAGAATTAAATATTACTCAATTCAAGCTTGTAGAAATTAAAGCTTGAACTTAAAATAATATTCTACTTGTTATGTTTATTATGATTATTTGAGTGAATATCAAAGTTATAAAATTAAGTAAAACCTACTCAACTTTCTGATACGTGTTCCCATCATGCACTGGGACATAATTAATATATAATTAATAAGGTTGCATTTTCACTGTTTTCTAGTTGTATTTACAGTTTTATCGCTTTGGTTGTTAGGAATAGCAACTTGCTGTTTTGCTGTGCTCTATTCTATCACTGTTACCTTTAATGTGAGTTGTGTACCAAGTTTTGAGGTCTCTGTGGTCGGTTGGGTACCTCATTACCTATATTTTGTAGATATGTAGTCTTACAAAGTGAAACAAGAAATTGAATGTGTTGTTTACTGAAATGTTTTTAAGTTAACCATGCACTTTAAAATCATGCTTAATTCAGTGCTACATAGTTTGAGTAAATTTTACGAACAAAGAGTGAGTTAACTGAACTTGGAACAAAGAGTGAGTTAACTGAACTTGGAACAAAGAGTGAGTTAACTGAACTTGGAACAGAGTATTGCAAAGTAATATGTACATGAGTTAGTAGAAATGAAAAAACGTATTTGTACACTTCAGTGGAACATGTACATAGTGTGATGAACAAGCCTGTCTTTTTTGCAGATGGCAAATGGTTTGAATTTTTTTTTTCTAATGCAACATTTTAAAGTGTTATCTATCTATCTATGCATTCTTTATTTTATATGTGAGTGAGTCTGAG